TGTCCATCTTGTGTAGATTATAATCAATTATGAACTGTGAGAACATCTCAGGGAGAGTCTCAAGGACTATGTCAATCTGCATCTCGGAATCAATGTTAGCTCCTAAAACCTCTGCAGCATTGAAGTGACCAATCATGGTTTACTTATGGTCCTTCACATATACATGCCTGGTTTCATGCGCGTGTTCATAATCACACTAATGAAAGTTTGCCTAGCTTGTCGGTTTTGATGTCCAAACATCTCTTGATGACTTTCCATCATGTTAAAAGCGAATTTGATATTGTGATATTTCTGTTGCAACACATTTGACATGGATGTCAAAATGTAGCAACGGGCCATCTCATCAGAATAACGCACTTTTAATATGCAGTCTTTTAAGATTCTGTGGAATCATCTTTAGAGGGTGCGGGACAAATTTCAGTCAGCACAAATTTGTGTTTTTGGCGGTAAGAACAATGTTAAGATTTCTTTTCCAATCAACGTAGTTTTCTCCCACAAGTTGATTTATTTAAGTATCACTGATAATGGATTAAGCGACATTTTGTTGAAAAGAATTAACGATTCAAGTATTAATTAAATGAACAATAATCTTTGTACGATGCATGTACATTAATATGTGATTATAGACCCCAAAAATATATTTTTCAAAATCAAAGACCTTTAACTCTTACAACATTAAACACCCCCTCTTTAGGAAGTCAATGTAGTTGACGGCAAGGTTGGGAGCCTCCCACTCATTTTATTGAGCTAAGCATCTCATGCCACAATGTAATGAGGATTGATTATTATTTAGCCAATGAATAATTTTATTGGAACCTTCTATATGAAGTCCTCCAAAAATATTCATATATGTGTTATAACCTCCATCAATAATTTTAAAATATCTGAAATGCGTGAGATGTTATCTATAGGATAATCACCTCATTATACCATTTTAAAATTTCTATAACAAGATCCAATTTTAGTTAATCTAAAATAACATCGTTTTCCTATAGGGAGACCGATGTAATTCGAAACTAAACATATGCATTTTAATAACAAATTGGATGACGGAGGAGGCCGCGGGTTTATACATGTCTATAAACCCTCTCCCACTTATTAGTTTAAAATAATGGGTTTTCAATAATAATTATTCAGCCAAATATAAACAATTATAATGGCACCAAATTATTAATAATAATTTTCTGTCACTTCTAATTAATTTAAAGTGATAAAAAATTATTTAATACTAATGCATATGATAATAGTGCACCGGGTGGTGTTTCATTTAATCTACATGACATGTAATATTCATACATAAAACGATAAAAGCAACAATTAAATGAATAATAATCACTTATGGCACATCC